ATGAATCCAGCTCATATTACTGATTAACTGGTAGTCATGAAAATAATACTTAATTCGAAAAATAGACTAGAGTAGTCCGCTAAATTGACATAGGTAGCAAGGCAAAGAGCTAATGTGCTATCATACACTGGATGCTAATTCATCTGATGCGTAGTTGCCATCGTTGTAACACAATATTAGGATATTGTTTTGTCTAAATATACTTGGCTCAACCCTGGTTGTCTAGCCGCCTATACGTCCTGTTAATTGCTAATTCATTCGTATTTAAACCTGTACATGTCTAGGAGGACAGTCTCAGCAGGCTCGGCTCTTCCCGCATGAGTAAGCATCCGTCTTAAATTTACCAACCACAGGAACTTAATTTAAAATCTCTGTTTTAGAGGGGTCTCTTGTGCATTTCGAACTATCTTCAGTCGTCCTTTCACGTGTACTAGTAAAGTTCACCTAAAAAAGTAAAAGTATTGACGAACCACAGGCAAACCTGATGCCTACAATTTGATAAGTGCCTTGTTGAGAGAATCCAAATAAAGGGCCCTATAGAGACAGAGCTTCTTGAAATTATTATTACTTGCTCCTCTGCTGTCTGAGTCTCTCTGAAAGTGTGAGGATCCAGGGCATTGCTGGAGGGCTGGTATAACTCACAGCGAAATTGGATAGACGCAGAAGATGTGGTGACATCCCTTCAGGCCTTTTAGGGCCTATCAGTGTCAGTAGTCTTCATTTTACACGAGACAGCAAAACGGTATAATCAGATTGGTCTCATATTTCTTCCATATGGGGACATTTCATACCTTTAAATGGGTGTTAATAATCTGGAGCTCCTCACTGGTCCTGACGGGCCTCATTCTTCTCTCCAGCAGCGCCTTCATTGTCCACCAGGCCGGATTCCACAAGTACCAGCGCCTCTTTACTCTACTATTGATGCTGTCCACACGAGACCAGTCACTTGAGCTTCTCTTGAAGGTAATTACCACCAACCTTTATCCTCTGGTTGCTAATTGGAAGGAAGAAGACATTAAAATGGATGATCTCTTGAGCAGCCAAGATGATACAGGTCTACTAGCAAGCCAGGCAACTGGCTATTTGCTTGCCTACCTATTCTGCTCAGTTATCCGTACCTGGCATATAGTAGCTATTATCCTCATCTTTGCCAGCCTGATTCTGATCGGCACCACCAGTATCATCGCCACTTATCTCCAAGGCCGCCGACTACTCCTCGTGTCTTCAGGCGCGCTGATCGCCTTACTGATCGGAGTCAGTTTTGCTCATAATCTAGTTATGGATTGGCAGCCGATGGCTCATCTCTCTCTCGTAGAATTTTTGATGGTCAAAGTGTCTAAAGAATTCCAGTTGCAGCCATCGAGTTTTCCCGACGTGTCAGACATCTCGTCCTACTCTTATTCGTCCACTTCTTCAGCATCATCAGTGCCGTTATCGTCAGTCTCGTCCTCATCCTCATTTTCTACCTTGCCATATTCCCCTCTATTCTCGCCAATTCATTCAGCTCCTCGTCTTCAGGTACTGGAAAATTCGCCGCTCGAGCGAAAGCATGAAAGAATTTTGCAAGTCCCGCCCAACTCAGCGACTCTCAACTTTAGTGAAAGTATATTTCTTGGCGAAGACATCGAACCTGGATATGCTGT